AGTTGAAAAAAACGTACTTACCCTCGTCATCCGGGCAGTTGATTAGGGCGGTCGTCAACGGGCCGCAGCGCGTGCCAGGAACTATTTGCTTTTTCCAGGACTAATTTAGTCATTTTTTCCAACTTTTCACTGTTTTGGCTACTTTTTCCCAGATTAGCAGCTCCTTATCTTCACAAGGTGGAAAAAATGACTAAATTAGCCTGGAAAAGCAAATAGTTCCTGGCACGCGCTGCGGCCCGTTGACGACCGCCCTAATCAACTGCCCGGATGACGAGTTATGTTCCAACTCAATACATTCGATTGATGGCGTAACATGAGGCACACATTTGCATGAGGTATTGTAAAATTGCAGGGTAGGATCCATGGTAGTAGCAGTATGTTGGTTGTTGCATAGGTGTCTATATCGAAGCCGAAGAACTAGACGTGCAGCGCAAGCCTTCAGTTTCAATTGATTTATTGACTACCAAGCGACTCTTGCAGACTTTCAACCGGCCATTGTGGACGGACCCGTAGCTACTAGCTGCTAAAACAACTAACAAAAATCCAGAAAAGCACAAGACTGTTACAATCCGATAAGGGTGTAGAAAAGGTAAGTTTCAGTAGGAGTGATAATGCTCAGGGGTATTTCTAAAGTGCTGCAACAAAAGCATTGTTCACTCATATACATGTGTGCTAGTAGAACAGCATGATTGGATCATAATTGGGGAGACCTGCGTTTGGATGCGATTCGGTTCCTGCTAGATTGTGTGGGATTTCTGCCAGAATATCGTCTTCCAACTTGACTAGCTGACAGCATGTTGCCTGAACAAAAAATGATTTGCTAGTACATACGGCATGGCTTACCACAGCCATCAAACGAAAGACAGTGAAGTTTTGGATCTTCTCTTGAAAATCTAGCAACGTGTTTCGGAAAAAGCTACGCAAAAGTCGCCTTCATTTTCCCACCAAAGTGAACCCGATATTCTTACAAATCTGCTCTTTTTTTCTCTAACTCTTTTTCGCTTTCTTTTCTGAAGAATGTTACTGCTCTTTGAATAACCTTGTCATATTTCGCAGTTTTGCAAAATAGCGCACTCCAGTGCAACAACGGGTGCGCAGTGATCGGGAGTTTAGATCTTGAATGTTTAATAAATAAGGTGTTGCGTGAAAACACTCACAGCCACCGGCAGAACTGCGTGCTAGAGAGAGCTACCGTAATCTTTAGCCGATTTTATAATAGATTTCATCCCGATCACCAATACTGAGCAGAAGTTCTGAACACCGTGAGCTCACAATGGTAAAAACGAGCTCAGTCCATCCCTCTCTGAACCGTACCGGCTGACTGTGACCTGACTAACTGGGAGTGCCGGCTTGTTGCCTGTTTATCTAGAGTTATTCATTACCGTTTTTTAGGAAAGGTGTACTGTCGCTTGACTGCGGATAAATCTAATATTTGCACATTCCTTGTGATGGTCAAAAACTGTGTGCACGATAGCTGAGGGCGGGCGGTTTCGCCAACGCTATTGGTGAAAGGGCTAGATGGGGAGTGGCCAAACACCCTCTCGCAGTCTTCCACTGTGACGCTGGTAACAACAGCCCGCCTCCAGCCATCGTGCCCACTGCCCTTAAGAAGGAACACGCTTGGGCTACAGCGCTTGTACAATAGGATAGAGTGTTCTTGTGAAATATAGCAGCACCGGGCAGCGCTCATATTTCGAGATTGCAGACGCGATCGCCACAATCGTAGGGAATGCGGGATGGCGACGGAGACCAACGCCACTAGATGAACTGCTCCGGGTGCTAGTGGGGAGGTTTCTATTTATGTGGCTTCTATTATTAGCTACAACCGTCTTCGAACTAATGCTTTTTTTAATTCAAGAAAAGGGAAACCTGGATTGAGGGGTAACTCGCTCTTATTGTTTTTTTGAATCAGTTTTTGGGATGGGCCAAATGCGCCTCATTGTTTCTCATCTCACTCTACATGCTTCCACATGCAGTTAAGAAGTTTCTACTTCGCTGATGCTGCCTCGAAGAGTTTCAGCGAGTTCCAATTCCCTAGGTGAGTTTTCTGTGTCTTTTTCACTGTTCAAGCTCAAACTGTAAAGTAAGTATAATTGTTTTGGAAGTTGAGGAAGGTTTCCAAAACACTTATATCAGCTCGAACAATGAAAAAAAGGAACAAAACGAAGCACACATAGGAAAGCCTCATCTCGAAATCGAAAGGAGATGGTGGAACCCTGTCCACGTGATTTCAGATCCGCCTATCTCATGAAGTAGCGATCGCTAATATGCGACCGAGCGCGATGATACTCGATATACGACGGCAGCGGCCATAGCGCAGCGGCCATAGCCGCGATGGCAGCTGCCGTCGAGGAGTATGAAACGCTACCTTAAAATGGAGAGTACAACAAATAGCTTTACTTCCGAAACATTCCTCTTGATGAAGAGTGGGACTGTCGGATAGTCATATCAAACTGCTAGGAGGACACTAACCCGCCGACATTAGTCGTTTGAGGAAAGTCTGAGTTTTTGTCGTAGAATCTTAATGAGCTCTCAAAGAACAATGAACCAACCTTTTTGAAAGCGGAATTTTGTTGGCTCATGTAAGCTCGAGAATGCTGGAAAGTAATTTACCATAAGAATCGGAGAGTTTTAAAAATTGAACCCCTACCTTCGTCGCTTCCATGACTGGTGATGCGCGTGCTTTCCCATGGTTTCTTACCTAGAAATGTTACCGTTGAACACGTCAGCTGAAGACCAAAATATCCATACTGAAGCACATTTTTGAGCGCCGCTATATTTCTGTCCATTTCTTATTTCTCATACTCTCTACCCGATCAAGCTATAACATTATTCGCTTCTGTATAAAGCGAACAATTAAGCCCTTCCATACAAACCTGATAGTTTTGTGGATCGCAAATGAAAATCCTCAAAACCTCGAGGGGAACCTCTCAGTGTGCGCCGGTGCTGACGTGTAAGCGTTGCAATCAAACCGAACCAACTGCGACTGTGGTCGCGATGGAAGGTGCTGAATCTTAACAACGGCAACATCACGACACTCGCAGGTTGTCGTCAACGCAGAAACGCCACTTGGATAATTCCAGCTGTCGGCTAATAATCTTAGTTTCAAGCTGGATCACTTTGCACACTATGTCCGTCACTTCAGAGTGCACGGATAATACTGAACCAGCACTCTTGCCGACATGAAACACCACAGAAATATTCATCAAACAAACATGCTTACATCCGTTGTTCCTAGTTGCCAACATTGCAGTTGTGGCTTCAAATGTGCCCGCTGGTCAAATTTGAACACACATTCCTCGCGGCGAGAGCTTCTTAACTTTCTCGAACTGTCACGCCGCTCAGGGTCGGTCTCTCGTGCCGAATGCTCTGACTCCTTTTCCAAGACTGCATGTTGTTGCCGGAGAGCAGCACTTCCTAAGGGGTCAGGTAGTTTACTGAGTCGTCGCTTGTACCTACGCGGCGGCAACTACGAAAGCACCATTACCAGAAGAAATTGAAAAGTTCTTCTGTAAGCTTGAAGGCACCACCAGGGTATATTGAATTGTTTCCTAATCATATATATTTTTCCACAGGAAAATTTCACAGAAGCCGCGCTACACCAAAAAAAGAAACGGGAAGACGCGGTCGGGGAGTTCTTTCTAATTTTTGGACAACTACGACACTGATCTCGTGCACAAGTGCGCTGATCGGCTTGCAAACGAGCTGTACAAAGACTGTAAAGGTGTAAGGCTGCGGGTTAAAATGCTGAAATCAGTCACGTTCGTAGCCAAACTTGGACCCATCGCGGGTCTCTAACCATCTGAAGCAAGCTCAAGAGGAAACATCGATACCTTTGCTCCCAAAACACAGTAAAATGTCTCCGAGAGAGGTGTGTAGGACCAAAACATAGAAAAGCAAGTGGTGCTGCTTGTGGAAAAGTCGTTAAACGGCACCGATCGTGTCACTTTCAAAGCAGTAGCGTGGAGGGCTGGTATTGCTCACGAAGTGATAGCGTGCAGAGCAGCCGTGCCCATGAGAAACAAGCATGTGATATAAACCTTGAATGGGAAGACTACTCTTCGAATGTCCTGTACTACCGAGGACTTCCTTGTGACCGACGGCCTGCGTCTCCCTATTTCGCCCTATGCTTACCATTAGACCCTTCTGGTTGGGATACGGGCGAGAGTTCCGACGCAATGAACGCAAAATCTCTGAAGAGGAAAATGCATGGACTCAAGCTCGCACTGACCTCGTAAACTTCATGAGTTTTTGTCTCTAATGGGAGGTGCATAAGCGGTCTGGAGGGCACATCATCGTTGCAACTTCCCAAACAGAGGGATATACAGGGGGGGGGGCCAAAAAAAAGTCATTTTGCCTCCATGACTTTCAAGGCGCTATAAGTTACACTTTATTAAATTTTTATCGGACATTTTTACTACCATATTAAAGAGCACATTAAATACTATAATGATACTCCGCCACAGCCTTCTGGAGGAGCGCCATCGAGAGATTCGGCCGCGCGAAAGTGAGTGGGTACCGGAGTTGAGCGAGATCGTTGATTTCTCCGCCACCGTAGACCACCCTCTTGAACTCCGCCCGACTAGGTAACTGAGTGGATTCAGGTCAGGGGACATACTTCAATATTACATCTTCTTCAGGTACGAAACGCCCTTCCATTCAAAGTAGGCGGGAG